TCAGTGCATCACGACCATGGTGTGGGACAAAGGAGCTAATGACAGTCTTCATGAAGAGAACTGCTAGCAGAAGTCTGTGAAATCAGGACTGAAGTCTATGGCTCCCTTTGAAAAGTCAAGGGCTCTTAACCCAGGTTGCTACCAACCATGGAAATAAATGTCCTACAGCAATTGTTATAAAAAGAAACGAGGCAGACATGTTAGCTTGGATTTCCGAACTTACATTTCAGGCACTTTCTAGTCTTAGGCCTACCATCCTGAGCCTCTATTTTCTAATGATGATGTACCATCCACAGACCAACCCAGAAATAGTAGGGTTTGTTGACAGGCCCATTCTGTTAGCGTCTCACCACTTTTAAAAACTTGGACAGGTCAATTAAAATTAGACTTCACCTAGAGCTTATTTAAAAAAAAAATTTATGGCCTACTTCTTGCTTCTACCTCCTGACTGGGGAGACAGGCTGAAAGCATTACTTCAGCAGCAGAACTTGATGACACTGAAGCTTTGCTTTAGTTACACTCATTGGTGGCCAGCCACCAGCATAGCTGCACAATTGCAAACTTCAAGCATAGAAACTCAAAACAGTCATAATCCATGATGTACAATACAGAAGGTAACTCCTGCAGCCTGCAGTAATGGTAAAATTACATGAGTGCACATCAGGGTTTATAGCAGTTGGGCCTGTTTACAATAGGAGTTGAAGGGTGAGTCTACACAGCAGGGCTTAACTCAATTGCATAGTTTATTTCAAAATAGCTTATTTCAAAATTGGGAGCATCTACACAGCACTTATTTCGAAACAGAGCACTCTGAGTGCCCTTACTCCTCATACGAGAGTTACAGGAGTTGGAGTAAGAAGCCCTTCAGCTTGACAGTATTTCAACATTATTTCAAAATAACTGCTTGCTGTGTAGATACGGACTAAGTTATTTCAAAATAACACTGTGCAGACATACCCGAAATGGGGAGTAATATCAGGTAACATCAAGAGTAATGCTCTCCTAGCCAGCTGAAAAAGGATTTGACTCCAATCACACAATCCTACTCTCTTTTTCTCTGCAATCAATGTCTAATGTAAAGAGCTCCCTGCAGAGAAAAGGGAATAATCCTTACAGGGCCAGCCCACAACATTTTGGCACCTGAGCTGAGGCGAGGAGCTCAAATGATGCCCCCATGCTGCTTCGCTGCACCAGCAGCAAACACAATTTTCTACACTCTGGGTCCTAGTTGCACTCTCCAAGCCCAGTCTGGCACCTAAGGCGGCCGCCTCAGTTTGCCTCATGGTAAGGCCAGCCCTGAATCCTTAGTTTCCTTTTGAGTCAGACACAGGAACACTTTACTTATAGAAGGATGCAGAGAAGTGGTTTCAGCCCCCAGATGTATGTCTTGGGATCCCAAGAGATGTAACTTGCTTTGCACCTGTTCCTCACATTATGCGTGGGTCTTTACAAGGCTACCCTGTGTTTCTTCTGTAGGGCTGAAAACTTGTTCATTAGAGGAACATATTTCAGAAACACCATGAAACAAGTTTCTCATGATCTCTTTTTCATTTGGTAAATCTGAATTTCCATGTCCAAAAAAGAAACGGTATCAGTGTCACCTTCTGAACGGTAAACGGGAAAGCTTGTTGGAGAGGGGGGGGGGGGAAGAACAGGTCAGAAGTTTTCATTTGGTAAATCTGAATTTCCATGTCCAAAAAAGAAACGGTATCAGTGTCACCTTCTGAACGGTAAACGGGAAAGCTTTCACTTTGCGGCAATATTTTTTCTGGGCCTAAAACACATTGGATCAGGAACTAAAACTAAATTCTTTAGTTTTTAACATGAAGTTCCATGAAAAATGCTAACTCTGTTTCAGCAACATGAAATCACTTACAAAATATAATTCCATACAGGATGAGTGCCAATGTTATTCCTATTAATTTTCATTATGTATAGCGTGTGAATGCACATCATACTTTGCAAGAACACATTAAAAACAAGAACCCAGCCTAGAAGACCTTTTAGGACATGTGCCCCCAGGCCACACGTGGTGTTGTCAAATATTTAAAAACAGCAGCAATGTGTGCATCTTGGAATCAGTCTGAGAAAATATTTCAGTGTTCAGTTTTTTCTATTGCTGCAGGGCATTAGAACAGAGAAAACAAAGAGTCACCTCTGTCCAAGAAGTTGATCATAAAAAACAAAACCAGAGGACTTCCCTAAAAGATTGTGATATTTCAAATCCAAATTATTAAACATAATAAATAATATTGTCACCTGAAACCCCAGAAATACCTCCCACTAGATCATAGGGACAGAGCAGAATGAAAGAAGAGTTCACCACAGATTCAGGTTTGAAGACAAATTATCCTCTGCAGCTTGGATTTTAATGCAGGGCTTTGCACCTAGTCTCAGATTAAACCAACCCAGGGAAAAAAAAATCTTTGGATGCATTTTATTTTATTCATCTGTTAAATCAATTAGCAGAAAAATACAAAACACACTACAGAGCCTAGCTTCTGCATCCCAATAATTTTTTGATGGGGGACAACTCCAAGAATTTGGTAAGTGGTCAAGGGCTGCACTCGTCTATGATTTTAATGGAGGAGGTATGGGGTCTGTGATGGAGGTTGCATGCAGGAGCGGGTGTGGGCTCTGGGAGGGAGTTTGGGTGAATGAGAAGGTTGTGACCTGGGGCAGCAGATTGGGGTGCAGGAAGTCGTGCACGGTCTGGGAGGGCATATGGATTCTGAAGCAGGTGCAGGGGGGTAGAGTTGTTAACTGAGGCAGGAGTTGCTGAGGATTGGAATTGTGTCCTGGGGCAAGGAGTTGAAGTGTAGGAGGGGGTGGGATTCAAGCTGCAAGCTCTGGCCAGGAGGCACTTACTTTAGGCAATTGCCAACCAACAGCCCAGAGGAACCCTAGGGCAGACTCCCTACCTACAGTGTCCCAACATGCTGTTCAATGTGGCTGGATGCAGGGGGACATGTGCATCATACATCCATTAGAAGGGGCACTCCGCGCTCTGCCTATGCAACACGCGTGACCCAGGTAGCTCCCCTGGGCCAATGGGAGCTGAAAGATTGTGCCGGAGGCAGCACACCAAACCCACCCCACAGGGGTGCATGTCGCACAGAGATGAACATGGCTCCCACAGCCAGCTGCTTTGAGTAGAGTGGTGGGGCACAGCAGAAAGGGAACACGGCAGACACTGCCCTAGGCTCCCGCTTGGCTGTGGGATGGTGGCAGACTAGATCAGGCTAATGAGCCCTATTTTGCCCTTCCTAGACTAGACTGTTTCTACTCTATTCGTATTCACAAATGGATAGATTTTGCCACCCTTACTCACACTGAGCTTTCCTTTGCTCCAGGAATGGCCCTGCTGAAGAAAGTGGAAGTGCTAGGAATAAGCACATGGGTTGCGCCACATGAATTGGAGTATCGATATTTGGTCCTAAATAAATATTTTCTTCTTGGTTTAGTTATTACAGTTTTAGCCAACTGAAATAAAAATCTTTTACGGCCTTTCCCACACAAACAAGGAGGGGAAAAATGAGGTTGAGATTTCTCTGTGTGACATGAGACTGGGAAACAGAAAGAGAATCTGATGAAGACTAAAAATAAAGCCTGCTGTGAATGTCTCTGACTTGGTCTGTTCTGACTTGTAATGAGAGTTGCAATGTGCTAGAATGCCTCTCTCGGTTAGGACCTCTCCACCCATTCCAGCAAGAGACAACATAAACTCCTTAACAGGGGTTCCACATTCCTGCATCACTTAATCAGCAAAAGCAGTACTCTCAAAACATGTGCATAAGATACCTGCTCTCCCACAACTTCCCCAAAAAATCTTAGCTTCAGGTATGAATTGCGTGAATAATGGGTGATGTTTTTCAAAATGAGTTGCTATAAAACTCTATACCACCCTGCCTACTCTACTATAGACCTGGCCTAAGGGCTGGATCTTCAGTTGGTGTAAGTCAGTATAACTACTGATTTCAAAAGGTGCCTTGCTAATTTACACCAGCTGAGGATCTACTCCTAAAATATAGCTCCAATCACATGTAAAAATTAATTCCAAAGAGAGAAGAAACAAATGAAGGGAAAACTCTGTTCTCAGCACAGGGAGGTAGCAAATTCATAGTGGATGATGACACTTGAGATGATAAATTACTGGCTTTAAAAAGGAAAATAGCGAATGATGTCCCCATCTCACATTCTTTAGAAAAGCAAACACAGCAGAACCCCACTAATTCACACTTCACTAGCCCACACAGCCCATAATTCAAACAGAGAAACTATATCCTATGCTCAGCAATAGCACATTGCTAGAGTTTGGTTTCATGTTACTGATGCTAAGTTACTGTTAGCAAATACAGTGCAGTAGAATTGATTGCTTACACCATGGAGTATTCTCACAAATACTTATACATCAAACACCACTTATCTAGTAAGTGAATGAAATTCATTTTGTGACGCTGCGCGCACACACATTTTGCTTATTCATTAACTGTCACCAGTCCATAATTCTCTGCGGGATTCCCAGTCATCAGAATGAATTAGAATTTCTCGATTTGCAAGTACAGCGTATCCCAAATGCTTCAGGAATGTCAAAACTTTAAGGTACAATGACGACAAACTGGGTGGGTGGGATAAAAGCCTAAGATGTGGGTGCCAGTGTTTTCCTTATGCTGAGTTTAATTTTGTAAATGGAAACACTTACATGGAAGCTCATTCCTCAGGGCTCATTATGCTTCACATTACTGTAGCCACCAAGAGCCCTAATTATTGGCTGGGCCCCACTGTGCTAGGCACTGTACAGTACTGTCCTCTAGAATGTCTCCCACGTTTCATAGCAGCAAGCATGTGAGGGAAGGGACAAACCTCTGTTTGGTTGTATCAACCCCTCAATATGTCCCAGCCCTTCTTATGCATCCCCATTCCAATCTTGCCACAATACTCCCATCCGATCTCTGCCAGTCTCCCGCCCAGCTCCCCCTGAACACAGCTTGCTCCCTCACCTGCAGTATACCAGACACTCCATGTGGTTAATTTCATTGTCTGAGCTGTAGCGGCTATAATCCTCCCACAGGTCCTTGATGGCAGTGACAGCCAGGATGAAGAGCACAGGGGCCAGGGCCAGCTCGGGCTGGAAGGCGTTCACCGCTGGCACGAAGTTGAGCAGAGCAATGAAGACGAAGTAGACATTAGCCAGGCGATGAAATTGCTCGAAGAGGTTCTTGGGCAGGAAGGACAGAGCTGTGTACTTGGTAGTCTTGAGGCGATTATTGGCCAGGGGGCTCCTTTTGGGCTTCTCCGCCTCAGGCCCAGGTAGCAGCAAGTTGGAGCGCACAGTCCGTGTCTTGCTTTCCTTCTTCCTCCTCCGCCGCCTCTTCTTCCATTCCTTCTCCTCTTCTTTCTGCAGCTGGGGCACATCCCCATCTGCAGCAGTGTCCTGTGCCATCTCCCCTGTCCTCCTTCCCAAACACACAAACACAGCACAAACTTGAGCTGCTCCGCAACAGAGGCACTGAGCAAAGACTGGCTGCCCCTCCCTGCTCTGCACTAAGTTATCATCCTCAGGGCTTACTCACTCTGCACTTTCCTTTTCCCCTCAGACAGGGCAGGAGGTTTTACTTCAACTCTCCGTTTTGTTTGGCCTCTGCCTCTCTTCCTCCTCCCCCCACCCCCAGTGTTTGGGAGGAGAGAGCTCTTCCCCTCCCACTCTCTCGCCCTCCCTGGCCCAGCCTCTTCTACTTGGAAGGCTAAGCTCGCTCGTGCTCCCCTGGCAAGGGCTAGTGGAACCGAGGAGTGTCCCGTTGTCTGTCTCGGCAAGAGAGACACACACAGTAACCCTTGTCCCGTGCGTCATTTCTCACCAACCACACTCCTCTTTCCGCTCCTGAGGGGCTCGCAGAACGGCTGCAGCAGGAGCAGCAGCAGCACTTTAGTAGTAAAAACCCCAGAGCGGGGTAGGCACAAGCTGGGGAGGGAGGCGGGAGACCGAAGCACTGTTTAAGAGTGGGAGGAGGAAGGCAGAACAGCAGCCAGCTCGGGGATCAGGAGGAGGAGGAGGAGAACTTTTGACTCCCCAGAGTTAGTAAATTAAAGTGTGACCCTGGTGTGCGCCGGGTCTTTGGCATTGCTGGAAGCTGCTCCTTCATTCCATCCTCCTGGACCCTGGACTTACACGCCCAACCAAAGGCGGGCGCCCCCTGCTTTCCACAAACACTGCGGAGGTAAACCCAAAGGTTGCAGTTTGTGCTGCCTTTGATCTTCCATTACACATAACAAGGGGGAGGGTTTGGTTTCTCTTTTCTCCCTCTTCCATTTGAAAGTTAGTTTCGTGCTGCATCCTGCCAAGGCTCTCCAGAGTGCGACACAAATCTACCTTTAAGAGTCCTTGTCAACCAAGACTTTATATAGTGATTCATTTAAAAATATCCCAGTTTGACAAAGTGTTCTTTAAATAAAGCGGCATCACACACATTTTAACATGGAAAAAGCAACCTATTTTCCCCTAACTTTGTTCTCAAGCAGCTGAATCATATATGCTCCAAAAATAATTGAGTCTCAGGCAGGCAGACAGACACCTGGCACGGAAAAGCTCAGTTTCAATGGTTAAATTTGGGGAACCTTATGAGTAACTGAAAATAGGGGTTTAGAGGAGCAGCTGGATAACCTCAACTAGACTGACTACCACCTCACCTGTAATATGTTATTTAATTTCACAAGGATTTTTCAGTTCCCCTGCAGTGACTTTTCCAGCTGCACAGGGTGAGTGGGCAGTGTACTCTCTGCACTGAGCTGGTCTCTACCTTTTAAAAAGGCAACTATTAAAAACTCAAACTTTGGGAAAACACAGCCAGAGTGATACAGGCACTTGAAAATGAACAGTTAATGTGCAGGCCTGTATGTGGGGAAGGGTGCAAATGCACCGCCCCCCCCATAGTTCCTCTAAGTCAGTGGGAGGGGGCTCTGCGACCACCTTCCTGGTGGTCCGTGACTTGAGCTCAGCTCCCCTCTTTTTCCCCGCAGCAGGGAGCCCATGCTTGTGCTGCTGAGCCAGAGTGATACAGGCACTTGAAAATGAACAGTTAATGTGCAGGCCTGTATGTGGGGAAGGGTGCAAATGCACCGCCCCCCCCATAGTTCCTCTAAGTCAGTGGGAGGGGGCTCTGCGACCACCTTCCTGGTGGTCCGTGACTTGAGCTCAGCTCCCCTCTTTTTCCCCGCAGCAGGGAGCCCATGCTTGTGCTGCTGCCTCGCTGTCAGCACCAGCTTCCTATTGCAGGGGAGGAGGGAGAGAGAAAGCCTCCAAGCCTCACTGTGTGATCTGGCTTGTGGGGAAGAAGTGCTCTCCCTCTCCCAGCTGGGGGAAGGGGAGGAGGAGTGCTTCTTCCCTGCTAGCCATACACATAGCTCAGTACTTTCTCTCTTCCCTCCCCTTCGCCCCCAGTGGGAAGCTGGTGCTAATGCTCCAATGGAATCCATCCAATGGGAGCAGTGGGAGGCGGTACCTCGGACTGACGGGGTGCAAAGGCAAGTAAGTGCCCCCCACTATCTCATGCCTAGACTCCCACACCTCAAGCCACTTCCTGCATCCTCCCC